ACAGAATTTAAGCCAGAGGACATCTACTTTCTCTTTTGCAATTTATCATGCGGGTGAGTCAGAAGTACAAAACCATCCCTCTACTCATCTAAGAAAACATTTCTTCAAAACCTCACTTGCCAGCTTAGGGAGCATTGAAAAAGTCAGAGTCACAACTCAAAACCTGTGATGCGCTCTGTGCTGATGGTGGAATGCAGCCAAAAGGGCCAGACCTTAGCTGATTTCAAACACAGCCATGTGTCAGTTACAGTCCTACAGGCCTGACCTTCCTTCCAGGTAGAGCTCTAGCATGTCCTGTCCCTGCAAATCAGAGACCAGACAAAAGAGAACTTGGCTCGTCCGTGCTGGCCTAGGATGCCTACGTTCATCATGGGAGCTGAAGGTCTTTGACAGGCCTCAGGATAAAGAAATGCCTACACCCACATGCTTGCCCTAGGAATGCACAGCAGTGGTGATATTCTAACTGGGCATCAATCGCCTTGGGTGGAGGACCAAAACCTTACCTAGCTCTTCCAGGAAAGTACTCGCTCATCCCTTGTGCTCTTGCTACATGATTTGCTTCTCTGTTGATCCCATTGAATCAATATTACCTAAGTGACTATACTTATCTTAATGGTTGGCCATAATTTTGTCCCATTTCATACCCGCTGTGTGATTTCCCATTTGATCAATATTACCTAAGGGAATATACTTGTAATTTTGTTAGTTAGCTATTGTTTTGTCCCACCTTATATCCACCTCACCTTGTGGCCTTGGGAAGTGGGATCCCCAGGTCACCTACTCAGGACCCCCTTCTTTCCCTCTTATAAGCTTGCTTTCTCTCTCTCTCTCTCTCTCTCTCTCTCTCTCTCTCTCTCTCTCTCTCTCAATAAATACTTGCTACTCCTAATCTCCATTTTTCCTAGAATTCATTCTGTGATTTCAGAGAACACGATCCCAGAGTAACAGACATCCAGCAGGTCGGGTGTTATATTTCCCTTCTGCTCTCTGGGTTTCGGGGAAGTCCTGTATCAACCCTGCATCATACACCCTATATGCTGCCCACTTTTGCTGTTCTCCTGCCGTGGCTGGCTGTACCATTGCTCACACCAACCATGCTGCTGATAACGCCCCTGACAAAGTTTCTCCTGTATGGTCTTTTGAAGTGCACCAGTCTGTTGTTTTGCCTTTTGCCTAGTGCTGGGCTTTGAACCCAAGGCTTCACGAGGCTAGGCACCTTCCCTACCACTGAGCTCCATTCCAGGCCCCATCAGTTTGTTAGTTTGCATCTTATCTGAATTCTCTACAGCATTGAGCACATTTGATAATTCCAGATCTTTTCCCTCCTCTTTTTCTGTTTCCTTTACTGAAAACTACAACTTCCAGGCTGCCTCATCTGGAATGACCCTGGGCTACCTTCTCTGTCTTCCATTACATCCAGAGTGTAGTTCCTAATCAAGGGCACTAAGTACCACTGTGTACTGATCCTTCTGAAACACATTTCCAGCCCAGTTTCTCTCCTGCCTGCCTTCTTACCTCTCAGTCTAGCTGTATGTTCAGCAAGCCCACTCAGGTATATCACAGCAGCCTCAGTTCAGTGTGTCCAAACCGTCTAGATTTCCCCACACTCTGACCTCCTCACAGTGTCTCTTTGTCCCTCAGTTTTATTTTTCCAAGTCATTGGCATCACTAATTTTGTCCAAGCCAAAAACAACATCATCATCATCATCATCATCATCATCATCATCATCATCATCATCATCATTATCATCATCTATTCATTAACCAATCAGATGAGCTAGCCATTCAGAATACAGGTACAATTTGACTACTCAGTTTCCCCCTTGCCACTGTCCTGTAGTCATGGGACGAGCTTAGGCTGTGGCACAGCTGGCAGGGGGAGCAGCTATGACCTGTTAATCACAGAGTCCCAGGACAGGAGCAGAACAGTTCTCAACACCCTGCACGTGGATTGCTGAGTTTTCAGTAGGATGGCCCCAGCACCGCTGCTGAGGCCTCCTGTGTAGAAGTCCTCTCAGATTTCCTCAAGATTTAGGCCTCATGAAAGGCTACAGACCATTGTGGCACTATCACACTATCACAGCCTTCCGCCTTGGGGCCTCCAGGGCGGATTTTTATCTTGCTGTTTTCCTTGGCCCAGGCCACTCTGCAGAACCGGTTTAGTTCCTCCCTCACTTTGTGCTTTGACTTTTTCTAATAAACTGCTGCTGCTTTTTGCTCATTTCACTCATGTCTTTGGTTGGGATAGTCAGAACCTGGAGGCCAACTCCAGAAGGACAGTGAACAGTGCAGGCCTGGCAGCAGGTGTCTAGTGGGCCACCTTTAGGAGGAGCCATCTGCCAACACTCACATCGGGTTTTGACTTCTGCTTTAGCCATTGCTGCCCTTTTCTCTGTCACGGTGTGCTTCTGTCTAGAGGATCAGGCGTCCAATCCCCTGACCTCTCTCCAGAGCAACTGGATGCAGTGTTGTGGAGTTTGAGAAATATTACTGTTTCTCCCCTGTATGTGGTAGAGTTGCCCCTAAAAAGAGAATTGTAAATGGTGAAAATAATAAGTTCAACCTAATTTTCATTATTTCAGTAATAGAATCAAATTTCCATTACTCAGAGGCTAGTGATCTGCATGGACTTTATTTGTATCTCATCTTATTTCTCACTATTATTGATCTTTGAAGGGCCACTCAGCTCCTTGCGGTTCTCAGCCAGCTTGTAAGGGGAGTCAGTTACCTGGGCAATTTGTGGAGGTTCCTACCTGGGGGAGGGCCTGGGGCAGGGTGGGCCAGGCCAGTGTGCTGCAGTGCTACTTGGTGGCCTTCAAATAGCTTCGCTTTCTCCACATCTGGATTTTCACATGTTACCACCACTGACTCAAAAGAGATGTCAGGGCCAGGTACAGTAGCACACACCAGTAATCCCAGCACTCTGGGAGGGTAGGGCACAGCAGAGCCCGCCCTGGGCAGTTAGGTGATTTAGTGAGACCCTGTCTCAATAAAAAGGAACACAGAAGTGTTGAGGTTGTAGCTTAGTGCACGGTCTTTGGATTCAATCCCTAGTATCACTACCACCACCACTAAAAAAAATGAGAGATAAGGGAAGATCAGGCTAGTGGTTGACTTCTTTGAATACTTGTGTACTCAGGAATGATGAACCCGGGCAGCATCCACAGTGGGAACGGGGAAGCCTTCTCAGCACGGCTCTGTGTTTCCCAAGGTTTCCACGGTGTGATTCCCCTTCCTAAACACCTTTCGCATCGTTACCTACACCAAAATCCGTAGCTGCCACCAAAGCTGGAGATAATAAACATAATCAGTACTTTTCTCGATGGATCCCAAGGCATGCTAGAGATGATTTGGGGAGAAAAACAAGGATACCAGCTCAGCAGGACAGGTGTATTTCAGAGCAGACCTGAGAGGAACTGCCGGGCTCCTGCTCCTTTGTAAGGTTCTTTACAGGGTCGTGAACATGAAGGGTGCTGCAAGGGTAGAGTTCAGTGGGAAGGAGATGCGGCTGCCTGCCTACGTGCCTGCCTGCCTGCCAGGGACAAGGCTAGAAAAATGCAGGTCAGAGTGTTTGTCTGCCAAGGCTGAGTGGTGGGAGTCATGGGTGTAGCCACCATGACTGGGTCTCAGTAACCCATGACTAGGCCTCTTAAGCAGGGGTAAAAGCAGAGCAGGATGGGAGAGGCTTAGAGTGGTCTCTCCTCAGCCGAGGGTGGCCGTGGTTGGACCCCACAGAAGGGGTCAGAAGATCGCCTTTGCTGCACTTTGCAGAGCTGTAGATCAAAGCTAGGATTTCGCATAGGCTAGGCAAGCACGCTGTGGTTGAATTATATCCTCAGTCCCAGGAAAACTCTGTTCTGAGAGTATTTAGCAGCAGGGGACTAACAAAAATAGTTGCCATAATTAATGGTGCCAGGTAGGAAAATGGTATGAAGAAAGAATGGAAGCTGAACTTGGCAGCTTTGAATTTGGAAAGAAGATACAGCCTTCACAGATACCGGGCTCGAGATGTCCTAAGACCATGGATGGGCGTTTCACTGAAATTACTCTGCAGCTGAGTGTAGTGACACAGGCCTGGAAGCCCAGTGCTCAGGCGGCTGAGGCAGAAGGATGGCCACTGAGTTTAAGGCCAGCCTGGGCTACACAATGAGATTGAGACCCCTGAACTACACAGTGAGCCCCTGTCTCGGAAGGATAGGAGGGAAAGGGTAAGGGAAAGAAAGTTACTGCGGGAGAACAGTTCAGCCTGACACACAGCCAGAGGACTTGGAGCAAAACTTGTGGACAGAATCCTGGCACAAGAAAGTGGTGGATTCTCGACACACTGGCTGACATGTCCGGAGGCTTCTGTGTTCATTTTATGAAGCTCACCACTGAGGTGCTCTTAGCAAGCAGAGCTATCAGGTGTTCAAACCCAGGATTTTCAGAGCTGACTTCACCGAGGGCTTAAAATGAATGCAGGGCTGCAATGAGTTCTGTCCTTAGCAACATAAAATAAAAACAAAGCACAAATAACTTTGATAGTGGGTGTGCTGCTCTGGCTCACGGCCCTCGCTTAGCCTGTGCAAGGTCCTGTATCCCAATCCCAGCATTCCAAATACAGTGAGGACAGAGTATAAGTTAGCCGTAAAAGCTAAAGCAGTGCTGGGCACGGGTCCTGACCACTCTGCTGCTAACTTCTGCTGTGTGGGCAGTTGCAAAGTGAAGACACAGTATTGTATCTGTAGTCGTGTCAGCAGTAACTGCCTTCTCTTGCATCCTCAATGGGATCAGGAGTTACTTTCTTCTGTTGACCCAAGATTGCTTACCATCTCACCCCTAGCTATTTGTGTACTTGCCTCCTTCCTGAACAAGGTTTCTTGGAGCAGAAGCTGTGTCAGGCACACCTTCCTCCACACTCCTGCAGGCAGCGGGAGTGTGCTAGTGATGTGGGGTGAGTGTATGACTTCTCCTGAACCCGTGTACTCTAATCCACCTCTGGATTTTTCCCCTCCCCACAGCTGTGCAGGTCTGACATGCTGTGGGAGCAGATTGTCCAGTCGGCCTGCGACACCATCACTCCAGACATGAGGACCCTGGCGGAGGACATGGGCTGGAGGCAGATGTTCTTCACCAACAAGCTCCAGCTGCAGCGGCAGCTCCGCAAGAGGAGGCAAAGACGGGAAAGCCAGCAGCCGGCGCTACTCTAAGCATTCCTTTTCCTACGCAAGGGGCAGGGAGGCCTGGCCATTCTTCCCTGCACGGTCCAAACCTCTTGATTCAGTCATCTGAGAAGCATAGTGGCTTTGCACACAGACGCAGCAGAACCTGGTCACCAGTGCCTTTCTCAAATCATCGCTGTGGGCCACAGATGCAGAGTGTGGCCCTAGAGCAGGGGCTGAAAGCCAGAGGGCCTCCCGGCTCCCTGTGCTCCCAGCACTGCTCACCCCTGAACCGTAGGAGAAGAGCTTTGCTGTTCAAAAACAATAAATGATTACAGACACCTGTCATATCTAAACATTTGAAAGCGCCACGAGGCTTTGACCTTTTTCCCTGATGTAATCGTGTGTCCGTCAGTTCACCGTTGCTAGCCACGATGCCATACGCCCATAGCTTAGGAGGAGAGGCACGTGGTTTGAGAGAATGCGGTTCATGCTTGCCTGGCTCTGGGGCAGAGGCATCATAGAGAAGGCCTGGGACCATACGCAGTGCCCAAAGGGCACCTTTGTGGTCAGCAGGCGCACCCAGAGGGGTGCTTCACTAATGTCCTTGGGCAGCTCCCAAGCCAGTCAATTGGACACACCAAACTTAACCCCCCACATGGGGTCAGGCGCCACTGGGGAGCTTTGGTGAGTGCAGCTGCCTTCTCTTCGTTCTGTTAAGTTTGCATTCAGGGCCCATCCCTGTGGCTCTGCCCCTAAGGACACCACTGGTGGCCTGGACCATGGCTGGAGAAGACCTGGAGTGGACCTTGCTGAGTGTGCACTCCCCAGGGCCTCCCCTCACTTAAAAGCCTGTTATTCTTATTTTGGTTTGGCCTTTTAAAACAGGGTCTTGCTACTCACTGTGTAGCCAAGCATCATTTTGAGAGGGATCATTTAGAGTTTAAAGAAAAGAGGAATACTTTAAATGCAGATGTGATAGTGTTTGCTAATAGTTACACACAAATCCTTACAGCTCCTCAGCTGAGAAATGAAAAACCACTGGAGAACCAGCCAGGGTTAGCTGCTGCTCTGAACTGCTCCAAGCAAGATGCGCAAGCCTATTCAGCTGACATTGCTGAATGCTGCTGGATGAAAATCAGCAAAAGAAACCACAGCAGCACCACTTTCTGAGGAGAAGGCAGCTTGTCTGATAAAGATTCAGCCACCAAAGTGGAGGTGGAGTTAGTATCTTCTCTACAGAGCTGCGCTGCGGTCTTACAAACGTGGCTGTTGCTGGACTTGCTGGTTGCCTGCTGGTCTCTGCTCTCAGCAGCAAGGAGTGCTTGGAAATAAACCCGGTGACCCTGGAACACTCCAAGTGCCAGGTGACTTGACTCTGCTGGTTGATCCCAGTGCAACTGTGTCGATGCTTGTTCTGATCTGCAAAGCAACGGTGAGCAAAAACTGCCAATGCCTCAGTGGGGGTTAGAGCGGTGACCCCACAAAAACTGGGCTCATGGTATTCTTCACACTGTGTACTGCAGATCTGCATGCAGATATCTTCAAGGAAACAGTAAATTAACTTTTACTGAAGTCTTTACCCCAGAGTTTATATCTTTAGTGTGTGGCAGTACGGAAGTAAGCATAAGGCTTGTCCACCACCAGCCTCACAGCTTGTCGTGAAGAAAAGCAGCTACGAGACCGAATTGCAAGCTGATGTGCATTTTCCAGGAAGCACCGTGTTTGAGTTTGGCAGACGCGTTGTGACCACGTTGTTGAGAACCAGGCTGACTCTCCAAGGACAACAGGCACAGTATTCATTGGCAACGATCATCTTGAAGCTTTAAAAAGGAAATCAGAATTTTGGAGGACTTACACCACCTTCCATAAGCTTGTCATTTCTAATACCTAAAGTGTTCTTAAGTACTTTTCTAAAGAGATTGGTGGTGATTTTAACATGTCCAGTTTCTAAAATATTGAGATACAACTACCTGGCATCAAATCCACCCTTTTGAAGTAGAATTCAGCAGTCCTCATAGTCATAAGGTTGGGCAGCTGTGGTCCTTCTCTAGTTCCAGAACATTTTCAGCACACCAAAAAGATATGGTGCGGGTCGGCAGTCACGCCCTAATCCCTTCCCCCTGAGGCCCCAGCCACCACTTTCAGTCGCTGTGGATTTCTCAATTCAGGAAATTTCATATAAAAGGAATAACTATGATTTTTATATACACAGTAACTGATGTAAAGAAAAAGTTTTTGTTTTGTTTTGTTTTGTTTTCCTTTTGGTTTTTGAGATAGGGTAGTCTTGATCTCAGTATGTAGCCTACGCTGCCCTCAGATCTGTGGTAATCCTCCTGCCTCAGCCTCCCAAATGCTGGGATTACAGATGTGCACCACCACACCTGGCCTGATGTAAAAAATATTGTGTGATATAAAAAAAAATTTGTAAGATCAACAGACTCAGTGAACCAAATGACCAAAGTCATAGTTTCCAAATGACCAAAGTACGGTGGATTTTTCTTTTTTATTTTCTTCTTTGAGATAGTGTCTCACTATCTCAAAGAAGTGCCCAGGGTGGCCTGGAACTTGTAATGATCCTTCTGCCTCAGCCTCCCAAGTACTGGGATTACAGGCGTTCACCACCATGCCTAGCCGAGGCATTATGTTACAAAATAAAAGATGGGCTAAAGATCCCCTCAGAATGTAGGCTAAGTCATTTAGCATGTATTTTGTCTCACTGTATAGCCCAAATTTGCTGTGAACTTATTATCCTCTTGCTTCAGCCTATCAAATGCTGGGATTTAAATCAATCGATTTTAATGTGACATTGTACAAGAATTCATTAACCTGGTCTCAGGTTCTACTCACTTTTAGGAAATGTAATTGTTGAGTGTGGTATTAAAACTACACTTATAGGCCAGGCATGGTGGTACACACTGGTAATTCCAGCACCCAAGAGGCTGAGACAGGAGGGTTGGGGTGAGTAGGAAAACACTGTCTCAAAAAAGAAAAAAAATCAAGGTGGTGGTGGTGGGGCGGGGGACTGGCCACTTGGTGTGCGATTGTCTAGGGTGGCCCCGCTGAGCAGCTGACCCTCTGCCAGCAAGGACAAGAGTTGCCAGGCGGTTGTCATGGCAGTGTTGGAGAGCCAGCTCAAGAAGATGGCGTCTAAGTACAAATACAGAGACTAACTGTATGTGAAATTGTCAATGTTATTACTCTATACTAAGATCGCAAACCTGTATTAGATTCATATGCTTTTAATGATGGCAGTTCTAGGGAACTAATGAACCTCACTGGAACAATTCCTGTGCCTTACGGAGCCTACTAGTTCAATGACTATTAAAACAGGAGAGCATGTTGATGCAAATGGGAAAAGATATCTCCCTTACCTGCATGAATGGAAACACCCTCAGTCAGACTTGCTGGGGCTTATTCAGGTCATGATTGTGGTGTTTGGAGAGGAGCCTCCCGTCTTTTCTCATCCTACTGTGTCAGCATCTTACCCACCGTACCAGGCAGCAGGGCCACCAAATATCTCCTACATGCCAGGCATGCCTGGCATGGTGGAATCTCTGCATACCCATCTGGATAGCCTCCTGATCCCAGGGGTTACCCAGGGTGTCCATACCCAGCAGGTGAGCCTGCCACAAGTTCCCAGTACCCTTCCCAGCCTCTACCTGTGACCACTGTGGGTCCCAGCAGAGATAGCACCGTCAGTGAGGACACCATCCAGGCCTCTGTCATTTCAGCAGTCAGTGACAAACTAAGATGGCGAACAAAAGAAGAAATGGACTGTGCCCAGGCAGAGCTTAATGCCTTAAAAAGAACAGAGGAAGATATGAAAAAAGGACGCCAGAAACTGGAAGAGATGCTCACCCACTTGGATCAAGAAGTAGCTGAAGTTGACAAAAACAGAACTTTTGAAAAAGAAGGATGAAGAACTCAGTTCTGCTCTGGAGAAAATGGAAAATCCGTCTGAAAACAGTGGTATCGATGAGGTCATCATCCCCACAGCCCCACTATATAAACAGATCCTCAATCTCTACACAGAGGAGAATGCAATCGAAGACACTATTTTTTTTTTTACCTGTGAGAAGCCTTGAGGCGGGGAGTCATAGACCTGGATGTCTTCCTGAAGCATGTGCATCTTCTGTCCCGTAAACAGTTCCAGCTGAGGGCACTAATGCAAAAAGCAAGGAAGACTGCCGGTCTTGGTGACCTCTACTGACCTCTGATACCAGCAGGAGATTGGCCTCTTCTAGAACATTCTTTTCAGTCTTCCTTTTTCTTATCAGTAGGTGCCCAGAGTAAGTTGTCATACTTTATCATTCAAGTGTAAAATATTTTGAATCAATGATATATTTTCTGGGCGGGGAGAAGCTCAGTAGAATAAGCACTTGCCTGACAAGTGCAAGGGCCTGAGTTCAATCCCCAGTCCCACCAAAAAATAAATAAATAAAAATAAAAGAATCAGTACAAGTTTCCTCTTGAAAAGGAATTTATCTTTTAAAAAATAATAATATATTTTCTGTTTTCCTTGGGTAAAGACTGGCTCTTATTAATGGACTTTCTATCCTCTGTAAACTTTTTGTGATGAATGTTGGGACTGACTGCGCTAAATAAAATTTGTTGCATTAAAAAAAAGAAAATCAAAATTAAACATATTTATAGAAGCAAATATGAGATCTACCTGTCTATTATTAAGATAAGACAAGAATGAAATTTTGAAAAATATGAAGAACAATGCCACTATTCGTACGAAGTTTTTTAAAAGTATCCTTTTCAGAAGAAGTTATATTCACAATAGGATCATTGTTTTAAAATAAAGTCATATCTAAATATTTTAAAACTTTATTTTTAATTTCCAGTAAAAATATCACTGGTATAGCCTACAAAATATCTTTAGGTCCTCATGGTTTTTCTTTTTCTTTCTTTCTTTTTTTCCTTTTTCTTTGGTTCTGGGGTTCAGCTTCACTATGCTGAGCAAGGGCTGTACCCCTGAGCCACACCCCCCCACACATGCACTGTTTGTTTTTAAACGTACTTAGTACAGGGTCTACAGAGTCTCGCTACACAGATGGGACTCGTAGTGATCCTCTTGTTTTCAGCCTCCCGTACACTGGGAAAGAAAAAAAAAGACTGAAAACACCAAGAGAAGGAACTTGGGGTCACTCAGTTACCAAAGCACTCACAAGTCTCCAGTCACGAGGGTGGTCAACGTGAATTCCAGCACAGCCCCTGCAAGGCAGACTGCTTTGAGGAGAAAGTCATCTCTGGAGCCGGGAGTAAGTGATAAGGACACCTTTGGAGCGGCCTTGCGAAAGCAGAACTGAGACCACGATCAGCCAGACCCTAGCCAGCCTTGGCCCGTCCGCTTCTTGTCACAGGCCAGTCCAGCCCTCTCCCTCGGAGCTTCAGCTCCAAGCTAAAGTCGCTTCCCTACTTTTTCTTACTTCCCAACACTGTCTAATAACCAGCATGCATCTTTGATGCATTCCAAAATGCTCTTCTGCAACGATGTCAAAAGCCTGCTCAGGTTGAATTGAGGTCCTGCCTCTTGTCACCTTGGACCCCATCTGAGGCCAGTACCATACTTTAACAGTTGCCTATTGATAGACATATAATTTCCCCCCAGTCTTTTATGTAATAAGCAATAAGGCAAAATATTCTTGTTCATTTATTTATTCACATGTAGTAAAATATTTTAGAGATCCAACAGCTGTATTAAAATAAGAGCTGGATGCATATTTTAAATTGAACATTTGGATCTGACACTTTTTAAACCTGCATGGACAAAGGTTTTTATTCTTTCCCTCAATCTTGCTAGAACTTAATATATTTATTTAAGCAGTTAAAAATTTGAACTTTTACATAATATACTTGATACTTAACAGTCACCCAAGGTGATTTTCTCTGGTTAGCTCTGCTGTAGACAGCTAAGTTAGGGAGTAGTCCAGGTGGTCAGACGGGTATGGGCCCTCCAAGCAGCAGGTGCAGAGGACAAGAACACAGCACCGCTGAGTGGAGGAGTATTTGTGGAAGGCCAGGCTTCAAGACAGAGATGAGCTGATTACTGTGGAGGACACCTGGGTGGCTCTCCCTGAAGGAGAAGCGGTTGTCTCCACTTTGGCTGAACCTGGCCCCACTTCCATGCATTGATGTGTGCAGAGCT